TTCAGTTAACAATTTGCAAAAGCATAGTCCAAAGTAAAATGAATCCCATAGTCTTCAATTCAGTACACACAGCACCAGTGCTATTGTCTAATACCTATTAATATTTGATATACTATACCAACAAGGGAATAGGAACAAATAGAATGATACATACCATCATAGCTCTTCTGTAAATGTTTGACATCATGTCCACCATCCTTCAAGTGCTTAATTCTCCGCTCATGCTTCTCTTGTGCTGCCTGTTCTTGTGCAAGCTGCATGCTTTGCATCAACATTTTTGTTTTACGCTCAAGATCCTCCTATAAAATAACAAATAATGCTGCATAATTATCTCCACATAATAGAGGGAGAGGGGGGGGCACGACTCCTGAAGGCTCTGTGAAAATAAATCCCCATCACAAAAATCATTGTACAGCTATCACAGACGAGAAATTACAGGAACTCTACCTCTTTCTGTCTCTGTTTCTGTCTTTCCATATCATACTGTCGTTGTAGCTCCTTTCTTTCCTGTGCAAGTTTTCTTTCTCCTTCCAACTCTTCCAACCTCTTTTTCTCCTCAGCCTCTCTCTTCAGTCGTAGTTTCTCTTCCACCTGTGCTTTTATTGCCATCTGAATGTACATGAGTGAAAAAATGAGTATGTTGACATGCTAGCTGTTTTCTTGGTATGTTCGTACAAATAGCAGCAAAGTTGAATTTTGGAAGTGCATGTTACAAGGTAATTTCACTATTTTTTTTTACATTCAAGAATATTATAGAAGTACAAAATTGGTGACAGTCAGACAAAAATATGATGGTGAATCTATGCATAATGTACATCTCAACAAGTACCTGTACCTTCAACTACTGCGTTTACCCAAAATTACACTGACAGTACAATTACCATGTCAACCAATGTCAACATGTATCACCATGCTGTCACCATTCAAAGACTGATTATTTTGAAAACATTCTTTGTATTTAAACAAATGGACTTAAGTCTACTTTGGGCATTAGAATCAAATCAAAAATAAAAAAATAAAAAATGTGTTAAATAGTTTTAGTGACAGTTGTGATAGCGCCCTCATAGTCATAGATAGTCTTATGTGACCTAGCGCCCTCATAGTCCTTTGTTTATCAATGTATGCATGCCATCTATGCATGCGATCTTCCAGTCTGAACTTTTGAAACGATACATTGGGCATAGTTTCCACAGTGGAGGTGCTACAACTGCAACCGCTCTAAGTATTACAGATTAAATTTAAATTAAACTCATAGGATGGTGATCCAGTGACTGCTACAAACGATATACAAAACTGTATAAGGGCACTGCACCAATACGGTTGCTATGCAGAAACAATGATATGCAGCTGTTTGCTGTTTTTTTCTGGACTTTGCATTTACAATTTACTCTTGTTGTCTTAAGAGCTTCATAATATTCAATATACATTTCTTGATTTAATAATTATTCTTTGTTTCTTACACACTGACATGCTAGCACCTATTGCTGTATTTAATTCTTCTCACTCAATTTTTCAAACACATTTATGGAAATTTTATAATGAATAAAAATACTTACCTGATGCTCTAACTGTTTTTGTCTAGCTTTATCAAGTCTATCCTTCTCGGCAGGATCCATCAGTGAGTTAGTACCTCGGCCACGGGCATGAATTCTGTGAAAGAACAGTATTTCAAATCTAGATATTAGCTACTAGTATAGCACAAACATCATATGTCATTCAACAGCACAAGTCATTCAATGTGTGTTAATGTAAATGACTCGAGTCAACTCAGAAACTCAGGAATAGAAGCTAGCTCCGACCTGACCTAAGAAAACTACCAGTGTGTAACCACAAATGACTCTTGTCAAAGACTTCAACGCCCAGTATTAAGGCAATGACCTGTTGTAGTAAAATTCATTCATTCTTGACTGGAAAATCATTCTAAGTGTGATACTCAACACTTTGCACCACCTTAATTAACCCTATAATTAATCTAACAGGATGGCAACAAATAATTCTTCATTTCATTCATTCTGGTGCAATCTGATAAAATCTGATGTAGTGTACGGGCTTTAATTATTGTGGCTATAACTTATTTAATTTTATTTTTTATTACTTTTGTTATTA